TTTTTTTTTTTTGTGTCAGTTACCACTTTTTCTCAGCTCTCACCGAACCAATTTCTTTCAATGATACGTCAAAAGATCACAAATTGTATCTAGTCGAAGACATTACCCTCAAAAATTGAAAAAAATGCCCTCGTTCCCCGTAAATGAGGAAAACCTCCAAAAAATTACAAATTTAAAAATCGTTAATTTTCAAAATTTTTTCAATTTTTTTTGCTAAAAACTGCCATAACTTTTTCAAAAATATAATTTTTTTTTATAGATGCTTAATGTCTTTATCTATCATTTGGTATATATTTTTTGTAAATTTAATACTTAACCTGCCCACATGGGGGAATTTAAAATGACAACTTTTTTACAAAAAATTAACTTTTTCAACTTTACTTTTGAAAATGTTCCGGAAGGACTGACACTTTTATATATATCTTAAATTAAAGTTAATGTAATGTACTTTATTATGAAAAAAAAAATTTGACCTTTGGACTTGTCTTCATGGTGAAAACGGCTACCGAATGCTATTTTTGTGTGAAAATTCTCGATATTATATTTTACATTTTTTACTTTAAAAGACTATAACTTTTTAAAAAATGTATTGATCAATACAATTTTTTTATGAGAGATAATATTTATATCCCTTTTTCATTCGAAATATATATGTAGCTTTTGGAATAATCCATCAATTTTTTTTAATTAAACAGTATCTAAAGATTTGCATCGAAGCGTTTTTTTTTAATAGTAATTTTAATCACTGTCAGATATCATTATACTTGATCCAACTATGTCACGTCACCACTATGCCGCGACTCCCCTGTGCTGGGTTTTTTTTCAGTTGTATCTATCAAAATAAAGAGTTTATAAAAGTTTTATAGAAAAAACCATGTCATTAGTACAGTACAAATAGTTGATCGTTACACATGTTATTGTAGACCTTTTAATGTTCTTGTTAAATTTTTCGGTGAAATAGTTTTTCGAATAATGTCCATTTATTTATTGAAGTTATTTCTATAATGTCGAAATATATTAATACCCTACTAAAAATTTAGTATTGATCTTTGTCATAATTCATAATATTCATTGACTGATGTAAAGAATATTCTTCAACTAATACAAGAAAGTGTAATTGTCTGTTAAGTTAAAACATGTTTTAG